CGTTATCAACAATAAAAAATTCATAAAATTTACGAAATAACCTCGTTATTAAGAACGCGTCACGATTGGTCGCCATGCGTATGACGTCACAATAAATAGTGTCGACAGTTTCTACTACTGAAAATATTCGATACTAGCTTTCCGCCCGCAGCTTCGCCGCGTGGAGTTCGGTTATATCGCGTTTCCAAGAGAACCTTTCAAAAGTCTGGGATAAAAACTATCCTATGTTCTTTCTCAAGGTCAACTCTATCTCTGTACCGAATTTCATTAAAATCAGTTCAGTGGTTTAGGCGTGAAAGCGTAGCAGACAGACAGACAGACAGACAGACAGAGTTACTTTCGCATTTATAATATTAGTAGGGATTTTGAGTAAAAAAAAATACTATGAAGTAATTCAATATAGTCATCTGTGATACAGGATTTATCAAAGCTAATTCCGATAATATCAGGTGTATTTAAATATTGTATATTTATAAATATTTATTGCAAAAAGGATATCGCCAGGGCAAAGTAGGAGCACGTACTCAGAATTTGAGAGATTACTGGACGTTCGATCGCCGCCTCGCCGCAGCGACTGCCCTTGCAACGATCAGCGTTGGGATCTCGTGGCGTCGGTTCGCACCGACGTGTTCGCCTACGTTTTCGTTAGGAGGGCACTCGGCGAGAACCCTTCATCGGAGAATATCCGAGCGGTTCGTCGGCAGGGGAAGGAGAGCCTTATGCGGGAGTGGGGGGAGGACCTAGCGGAGCAGCCGTACGGGAAAGCACGGCAGCGCTTCGCCCGGTCCTAGAGCGTTGGATGAGCGATGGCTTTCGCAGTGGTGTTAGTGAGTAGGGGCCTGCCCAGGCCGAGTCTCACACATCCCTCCCGAGCCCGGTTGAATGGCTCATAAAAAGAGTTTCCCTGCGTCATCAAAAAGAAAAAGGGTTGGATTTTATCCACATCACCTGGATGCATTCAATTGCAAAACTGTACGTGCATCGTGACCATTTTTTCCTCGCACGAGCAGGATGTGGAATAATCTTCCGCCCGAAGCTTTTCCAGAGAGCTACATCATAGGATTTTTTAAACATCAAGTGTTCAGGCTCCTTTACAAACAAGGCCGGCAACGCATCTACAACACCCCTTGTGCTGCAAATGTCCATGGGCGACGGTAAATACTTACCATCAGGTACGCCGTCTGTTTGCTTGCTCCTTTCGGACATAAAAAAAAGATTTTTGACGGAAAGACTTAACCTAACGCTTTATAAAAATATAAAAAGTACTATGTACATTAAACCAAAATTAATGGATAGCAATATACACATTTATTATTTAATCGTTTTAAATTATTCATATAAATTTTTTAATATTTTTATTACGATTTGGAGTTTAGTTGGAAAGTTTTTGTTATTGAATTCTACTTATTCAATTTATTCATTTCCATAAATAAATAATTAATTGTTCATTACTATATTATTATAAAATACGAGTACTAACATCAAAATGATTTTCACAAGAAACAATTTTTAAACAAATTTCGCACTGCTTAGAATCATTGATTACGATGTTTAACATTTTGAGGGACATTTAAATATATTTTTTGGGGGGCTTGTTTTTGTAGTATTGATAAAGAATTCCATGAATATTTACAAAAATTAAAATAAATCGAACCACATTTACACAATTTGTGTGAGTTTGTACATATTTGTCTTTGATCATGCATGTCGCATGATAAAAGACAAATATGTACAAACATTATGTTATTAATAAAATTCAGATGACACATGACTCACAATTGATCGAGTAAAATATGCCATAAATTAAAGCAACATAAGGATTTTGTATATGACGGTTCTTAAAAAAATTATTGATAATAATTTTTTTATCAATATTTTTTTGTTAAGGTCCGGTAAGGTTAAGCGGTGACATAACGGAATTTCTAAACGACCAGGGTTTTTTGTGTTCAATGTAAAATTTTGGACGTGTATTTTATTTGTTTAAAATTAAGTAAACACAATAAATTTATATATTGAGAGGTATTCATGTGTTCTCATTAGTGTTTACTCAAACTTTTGTTTTTAAAGAAACATTGTAAATAATAATGGTTTTTGTGTATTCAATCTACTTGATTTTGGTTATAAGTAAGTACTACGAACAAATTCTATACAATATAATGTTAAATTACTTTATTCTCATTAAACTTTGGTTTGATAAATATAAGTAAAATACATGAAATTTATCAAAGTAATAAGGTTATAAAAATTCATTCTTCCAATTATTGACAAATTTTTTGACATCAAAGTACATAGTTTATGTTTCAAGTTGTTTTTTTAAGAGTCATTTTTTAATTACTTTTATGTAGGGTTACTTTGAATAATTTTTGTTTTTTATTCCACGTCAATTCTATAATATTTTTTAATTCAATATTAATAGATTTATTTCCTCCAGCTGTGTTCAGTTCGACTGACTCTTTAAATGTCAACAAAAAATATATTAAACGGGTGAGTAGATTGATTTTGATATTTACTTTTAAAATTCACTTAACGAACATACGATATGAAATTATTATTAAGAAATAATAATAAAGTTTTTTTTATAACATTTATTTAAATCTAGCTTCTTGGGTTCATTTTCTATTTGCAACAAATATTTGTGTGTGAACACTTTTTACGTACTAAAGCTTTTTTAAATTCCTTTGTATCAGAGTGCAGATACAATAGACTCTTATACATGCGAGGCGTACAAAGAAACTCTGGAAAACTTCAAGAAACATGGACGAAGAATTAGTGAAGTCAGTAAGTAAAACCGTTTAATGAAATATTATTTACTACGAAAAGTAATTGACATTATATATTTAATTATATAATGTACAGTTAAGTGCAAGTTAAGGCAACTTTGTTAAGTAATCTTTGTTTTCGTTCAGCTTATTAGAGAGCATGATAATAATTACAACATTGATATATTACAGAATGTGATGAATACGTTTGGCAGAGGATGAATCGTCACGAAAAATTCAACAAATGGTTAAGAGGTAAGTGACATAGATATCATTGATTTTTCTACGAAACGCTTAGAAAACTGTTAAAGAACAAAAAAACCACATGACTTTTTGCATGGACTTTTTTAACAAAAATATGTATTAACTAAAAGGTGACTCACAAAGGAGAGCAAGGAACGTGCCTGAGGAGAGTTATTTGTCAGGCGGTATGAATGCCCTGCCAAGGGAATTCCCTCACATGGTAAAAGGAATCAAAGAGTTTTTAAGTATTTGAAACTTTACATTACTAATATTTTTTATATAACTTTAAAATAAAAGTGCCACGTGAAAGTATCAGGATTTTAACTAAATGCTTAAGATAATGTCAATTATATTTATAAAAGGGAGCATTAGGTTGGAAAGCTGTAAAAGGAACGTGGATTTTCAAATGCGGCAGTATTCTCATCAGTCCAAAGTTCACTCTTACGGCAGCACACTGTTCTAGAACACCTCTAGACCGAAAAACAAGGTCTCAAATTCCTGACATTGTCGGATTTGGAAATATAAACATTATCGACGTGGTAAGGATAATTAGAAATATACAGAACTTTGTCCCAATTTGTATTATTTTTTTGTTCTAACCATTTTCTGCACAATTAAATCAAAGATTTTATAATTAGTGCAGTCATGTAGGTTGCTTATTGTACAAGTTTAAACGAGTTGTTGCTTTATGTGAAACGCTTTTCAGTTAATCAATGGATTACCTCGTATAGATGCTAACATAGTGGATATAACTGTTCACCCGCAATACAAGTCACCATATAGGTATAATGATATAGCACTAGTTGAACTAGACAAGGATATTATATTTATGAGTAACGTGCAACCGGCCTGCCTTTGGAGCCGGTCTGATACTACTATACTTGGTTCAACAGCAACTGTAACTGGCTGGGGAGTTATCGAAACAGGTTTGAAGAGTATTATTTTAAACGAATTTCTACTGGATTATTATATAGAGGGTTGATCTCATTAAAGTTATTTCTGAATAGCTACAAGAAAGACGTCCCCAATTCTTCAAGCAGCAGTCGTAGATGTAATCGATGATGAGCTCTGTAACAGATTGTTACAACGATCGTGCAATAGACTATGGTGCGGAGTCAGAGATCAGATCTGTGCAGGAAAACTAGAAGGAGGAGTAGATGCTTGTCAAGTCAGTAAAATAAAGATATTACATCGAAATTACCTCATGATTATCGTATGTTTATGTATCATATTTGAGAACAGTATCTTGAAAAAATTTTTAGGGTGATTCCGGTGGACCTTTGCAAGTGAAAATACCTCTACCGCTATCTAGTGAAGGTTCAATGCATTACGTTATAGGCGTAACATCGTTTGGATTCGGATGCGCTAGACCAAACCTTCCCGGCGTTTACACGAAGGTCTCCAGCTTCGTGGATTGGATTGAGAGTGTCGTGTGGCCTGAAGAAAAAATGTAATACTGTTGATTTAAACTGTTTTGTATATTTTATAACATTTGTTTGAATTTGTTGTATGTTTGAAGTAGGGATGTTGCAGATATCGACATCCGCGAATACGGATGCGGAGTTTAGCAGGCTCACATCCGCGGATGCATATGCGGATGTGGATGAATAAGATATTGTGTAAATAAAGTCTATCCATGAAGAATTAAAACAATGACAACGTAATTATTAACATTTTTATTGTAATCAAACATAATTAAGTACTTATTTTTATGTTAAAAATATAAGTCATGTATAATGTAACTGAACACCTTCTGTTTTTTATATCAGTAGTTGAATTTAAAAATAGGAGCATTATACTTGATGAAGATTAGTATTGCCGCCTTTTCTGGTTCTAGTCTGTTACGCAGAGGTTCGTAAATTAATCCCGCGCTACTAAATAGTTGTTCGCTAGGAACACTGCCCGGTGGAGCAGATAAAAATCTTCGTACTATCGGCGATAATACCTTGAATTCCCCTCGATGTACACTCCACCAGTTTAAAGGATTTTCACTCACATTTATTCTTTTTTAGTACGGTAAGCAAGTAACTCTTTTTTTAATACAGCTTCAACGCTACTATTTTCTGGCTCATCTTGACTTTCGTCTTCACTCGACGAATCTAACATCATAGCCAGGTCGTTTTTTAAGCATGGCTTTTTGTAGAAACCTGAAGTCCCTGGTCCTAGTTGTTCTGTTTCATTTTCCATGCAATCAGTTATTTTAGCCCTTTTGGCATTGGTATTAACTGATTCAAAATTGTCATTCTCAATATTTATCATTTTTAAAATGTCATCTTTAATCTTTTCTTCAGTCACCGGTGTGAAAAATTTGTGCTTATAGCGAGGATCTAAGTAGGTAGCGATGGTATATAAATTGTTTTCTCCCAAGCTAGAAAACTTTGTAGAAAGTTCGTTTTTCAAAGTCGTTACAGCCTGACGAATCGGATCAAACTCTTGCGATCTTGTTAAATAGTCATCAACTTTTTTTTCAAGCATTTGTATTATCGGTATCACAGATGAAATAAGAGCAGAAGAGCTGCTCAGTTCCCGTGTTGCTTCCTCAAAAGGTCCCAGTAATTGAATGAAACTTTCAATCATTTTCCATTCTTCTGGTAGAATAGGGTCAATTTCATTATCATTCATGTAAAGGCTCAGAGCATCCTTTATCTTTGAAAAACGCTCGAACATGTAGAATGTACTGTTCCATCGTGTTACACAATCTTGAAACACTTTCAGGTGCGGTTGATTCAGTCTGTCCTGAATTGATTGCAGTTGTTTCTGGGCAATGGTAGAGTGATTGAAATGGGTCGAAATTCTCTTACATTTTTGTTTTAGTATTTTTATGTTTTCTTGAGAACCTAAACAACTACGGATAGCCAGTTGTATCTTGTGAACAGTACAGTCTATATCATTTAATGCTGCTAATCGCGCGGCTCGTTTCATATTAGACCCTTCATCTCTGATTAGGCAATGCAGTTGTTGTTTTTTAATGTTCCATTCAGAAAGCATGTTACTGAATTTTTCAGCAACTATGTCACCAGTGTGACGGCCGTCAAATGTCTCACATTTCAATATTATCGATGATCTATTAAAGTTTTCTGCAATTCCATGGCAAGTTAGGCTAAGCAAAGAAGCGTTTGAGCTAGGATCCGACTAAATGTCAGACGTAAACGACATGTTATCAAAATTTTCGATTAATCCTTTAACTTTTTGAGCCACTTTGCTATATAATTCCTTGCATACAAAATCTGTAAAAAAATTGCGTCCCCTAAAGTTATATCTTGGTGCTAATTCTTGCATCATTCTACGAAAACCTAGCCCTTCAACAAAATTAAACGGTAAATTTTGAAGTGCAATCATTTCTCCAATGAGTTTGTCAATTTTTTTAGAATTCAAGTTATTGACGTCCCACTTCTTTTCTTTTAGAACCACTTCCTCTAATGAAAGTTGTTTCTTTGATTCTTGCAGAGGAGTGGTAACTTTATCTGAAAAATACACAAATAAATAAAAATTTTCGTTGTAAAAAACTATTTACTTAAAAGTAATTAAAAAGTGAGGACATTTTAAAACACCAGAAAACCTTTCTATATATTTTGTAAATAACTTTCAAAATCAAATGTCCAACTTATATTGCAAAAAATAAAAATAAAAGGAGTTTATTCCTTATAAATATTTATAAGAAGGAAGGATCCCTAATGTTTTCTGGCATTAACATTAAATATAGCGTGAAGCTAAACTACACTAAAAAGAAAAGGTACACTTTTTGATAGTGATAAAATTTTTGCAATCAGCCGAATAGTTTTTGAGTTAAGTAATTCACTATCCATATTTTAATATCATATTAAAAATATACATTTATGTACAGGTTGTTTTATTTTGAAACAATAAAAAAGTAGATAAATGAATTACATATATTAGTCTTTTTACAACTGACGTTTTATATGACAGCAAATAACTATAATATTGAGTGGAAACTTAGCCAATAAACCACAACTAAAACTATTCTTTTATTAAACTAACCAAACAATGCCTCAAGTAAATATTAATTAATTAAAACTATTAATAATGAAACTTACTTGCGTCAGATTTCATCTGTTGTAATTTTTTTTCTTTACTAATGTTCTCAAATGTAGAAAATTCTTCTGAGTGCATCGACTTAAGATGGTTTTTTAAAGACGACGTGGTGCGGCCCTTGCGAGAGTAGCTTTTTTTGCATATTTTACAATCAGCTTTATCCTGGTCTTCTTTATTTGGTTCAAAATAATCCCATACATTACTTTTGGTCGGTGGTGACATTGTTGACTAAATAGTTAGATAGATAAACTATCAATAACGGGAATCACACTGGAAAAATAACGAATTTCGTCATAAAACGATATTTTTTCCTACAATAAAACGTATTACCGGCGTAATATAATAGAAGTTACCCTGTGATCTTATGGATATTAGTCTTAAATAATATAAAGTTTTCTTGTAAACTCTTCTTATTTACACACTGTATCACAATAACATTAAAAATACCTATTTATCTTTATGATACGATAAGTAGTTCACTTTCACTTCACAACGCAAACAAACACGTATTTATTCACTTGCACTTGCAAGGAACAAACAAATGATGCACTAGCGAAAACAAACAAACGTGTCGAATATTGTCACTAATTTCTTCGCTCCCATTGGTTATTGTCACGTGCGACCGGCACGCGTCAATCACCGGCCCCGCCCAATTTCTTTCTTGTCGCTATGTACTTGTATAATATTCGCATCCGCATGAACATTCGCATTGATTAATGCGGATGCGGAAGCAGATGCAGATGTCCAAAACAATGCGGATGTTCCGCATTTGCGGATGCAGATGCGGATGTTCGCAACATCCCTGGTTTGAAGTATTTAATATGACTTGAATCAACATCATCAACCGTCTGGACTAGTTTATTAAAAAATATTTAGATTTGTTTATTGTTGGCATGCTTTTTATTTTTATTTTATAAATATAAGTTTTGTTTTACTGAGTTATGTTTCAATTTCATATTTTATTTATTTATTTATTTACTCTTTAATGTACACCAATATAGACAGAAATAACAAGAGAAAAACAAAGAAAGGAAAAAGTACAAATAGGCGGCCTTATCGCTAAAACAGCGATCTCTTTCAGGCAACCTGTGGTAGAGGAGAGAGATAGGATGGTAGGGGTGTACAAATTACTTAATACATAAAAAATAGATACAATATATATGTATATATACGATACATAAATAAATATTCCATAAATATATACTTATATAATAATATACATACACATTATAGATATATACATTTACATACTATAGATACTTACATAATAAATAAAATAATTAATTGCAATATTTCTTCAAGAAGCAAGATAGTGCTCTTTTATCATTTTTTTAAAAGAATTCATATTTGGTGCACGTCTTGCTTCGAGTGGAAGAGAGTTCCAAAGACGAATTGAATGGACAGTAAAAGAGTGAGTGTAAAAAGATGTTGAATGGGGTGGTATTTTTAAGACCAAATTCTCTTCAGAACGAAGATTATGGCTATGTGAAGAACTAAGAAATTGAAAACGTTCTTTTAGATATGAAGGAGAATACAGTAATATAATAAATTATTTATTTTATTTATTTATTACAATTATGTTGGTATTTTTACATTTATATCTAAGTTTTCAGTGTCTCATAAACCAGTATTGGTTTTTCCGTACACTGGAATTCATCGTCGTTAACACACAATTACATTGACATCTCAATACATTTATATTTTGTACTTAATGTATTAAACAATAAACAAAAAAAGACATCAAACTTATAATATAATGATACAGGCATGACAAAATAGAGTAATAAAATTAACTAAATATATAAAAACAATATAAAGTGCATAATCTAACAAATAAGTAACATATACAAGGTAAATGTAACCTTATTATTATTTTTTTAATATACATACATAATTTCAGTATTGCACTTTTGTCGTGCGTTATCACTTTATCCATTGTTCAGTTTTAACATGTAATTAAAAAATATAACAAGCAGGTATAATGTAGACAAACAATGTAAACACTTAGGTTCATATTCTTACAATATTTTTTCAATTTATTATTGTTATTTATATTTTAGATTCTTTATTTGAGTTTATTTAAAAAATATTTTTTTAATTTGTATTTTAAATTACATTCCTTCAATTCTCTTTTTAAACTATCTGGTAGATCATTCGTCAATTTAGGTACTTGATATTTTAGCATTTGTTTGCCATAAAGATTATTGTATCCTGGTATGGTGTACTTAATTTTAGAGGCGCTACGTGTATGTTTTTTATGTTGGACAATATTTAGATACGCATTATTAAACAAATTTTCTTTAAGTAGTATGTACTTGACCTTGTCATGAATTGGTAGAATGTTCGTTTTATGAAATAATTCGTTAGTATTGTCACATTTAAACCTAAGTTTTATGGGAACTATCGTTTTAATAATACGTAACTGTAAATCATATATATGATCAAGATGTGATTTAAACGTTCTTCCATAACTACTGAGGCCGTAATATATACTTGTCTCTCCGAGAGCTTTGTATAAGCTTAAGATAGTGGAGTATGGAATTTTTTGTTTTATTATGCTAAATTTGGCCAACATAGCACGTAGTTTGTTACATACTAAGTTAATATGATCGGTCCATTTAAATCTGTCATCAATGAGCAATCCTAGATATTTATGTTTACTTACAACTTCTATTATTTCGCAATTACAATGTTGATAATCGTTATTATGGAGACATTTATGACTGTGTGCTACAACTTTTGGAATCATGTTGCTACGGTTTTGACTAGAGCTTACGTACATTAGTTTAGTTTTTTCTGCATTTAACGTAAGTCCTACGTCATGTGACCATTTAGAGAGTGATGTAAAGTCCGTCTGAATGTTAGTTAAAGCCGTGTTTATGTCCTTGTTTGTTCTTAAATTTTCTAATGTTACCGAAAATATCCAGATCATTATCCCCGCTCAATGAATTGTAGGCACTCATAATTCTATTGAGCGGGGAGTAATGACCCAAATTAGACTTAGAAATATGCTTAGAAAAAATCGCGCGCTTGCAAGTGCGCAGTGATTTGGAAGGTGCAGATACATGAATTCTCGATAATAGGTCTGGACAATCCAGAGCACCATTAATCAATTTATACATGAACATGTTGTCCAACAAGCGTCTTCGATCGGCAAGGGTGTTCATTCCAAAAAAGGCCATTCGATCGTTGTAATTTGAGAGCTTTTTTGCCAAGCCGAACTTGAAGCAAAGATGCCATAGGAAGCGTTTCTGGATGCTTTCTAACCTCTTGACATAAACATCGTAGTGCGGGTTCCACACTACGCTGCCATACTCAAGTCCGCTACGGACAAAAGCGTTGTACAATGTGATCAAAGTCGAAGGATTTTTCAGATCACCACAATTGCGCAAAATGAAGCCAAGACTTTTAAATCCCTTTGAGCAAATGGAATCAATATGAGTGTGAAAACGTAATTTTTTATCAATGATGATGCCTAGGTCACGAATCTCAGACAATTCTCGTAAATAGTCTAAAGTCTATATGATCTTTGTGGAATGGATTTCAATCTGCTGAAACTGACCAGATGACATTTGCTAACATTGAGACTCATTCCGTTTTTGTCACACCAGTTACTTAATCGATTTAAATCGCACTGGAGTAATTCAGCGTCGTTTGGGGAGGAGATGATACGAAGAAATTTAAGGTCGTCAGCAAATAAAAAATAATTGGAATTACAGAAACAGTCGCATATGTCGTTAATAAAAATGTTAAATAATATAGGACCCAAATGAGACACATTTGTGCCATTTTTATTCGTCACGGCAAGCGATACCCATAAATCCTCACATTTCGACTCGCAATTTAGAAGACGTTTAGAATCAATATTTGTGGATGTTGCAATAAGAACGCCTCCGCCATTCTTTTTAGGAACAAAACCAGAAGTTTCTCGATCCCTTCTATACACCACGTAGCGATGGTCAAAAAGTTCCGAATCGAAGACGCTATTGTTCAACCATGTTTCAGTCAGAATTATAATATCGAAGTCACTACACACTACATTACAAAAAAATCATTAGTTTTAGTCCTTAAGCCCCTAACGTTTTGATAATATATTTTAAGATTATCGAATAAAGATGATTTTAGGCCAAAACATTATCTTATATATTTACATTTAAGCTAAGTTTTTTAAGGCTAAGGTGTCTTGTATAAAGATAAATTTGGTACCATCAGATTTACGCATAAATATTCTACCGTGAGCTGTAATAAACATCCTCATCTTTAATGGGGCAGTTGATCGTTTTACCCAGTTGTTGAACTAGCTTTACAATATTTTCGCTGCGATGCTCCGGAACACACTGGATTTCAATGTTACAGGCACGGGACTGCTGGTCTATTTGTCGAAGACGTAGTGATATATCGCGAGTAGAAGTGCGAAGCATTTCATTTTCTTTGTGTAGATCCGCTAAGTATTTTTTCTGTGTTTCCATGTCCTTTTTTATTGTATCATATTCATTACTTAGAAAGCTTAATGATTGATCAAAAACAGAAATTTGGTTTTTGATTTCCAATAATTGACTATTGAGAGCAGAGCGTAATTCATCTCGTATAATTTCACGAATACTGTCGGCGGAAATACATGAGCAGTTAGAGGAGGACTTCGACTTAGTGCGTAGAGTAACGTTTTCATATACCTGAGCATTACTGAGAGTGGAAGTAGGACGGATCGGTGTGTTAATGTTATCTCTCTTAGGTTCCTTACAACGGCACGACGGACATATCCACTTTGCCTTGAATTCGCTAGAGAAAATATCAAATTTAGTAGTCGATATATTGAGGCAACCGTAATGATACTTATCAAAACATCGCGAGCAATGCATTGCATCATCCTCTTTTAAATCGTGCGTACAACCAGATCATTTGCTTAAAGGCATTTTTGCTAATTATTATAATACTGTAATTTATAACAAAAACATGTAAATATATATTCGCCGTGGCTGGGGATCGAACTCGGTTTCGTCGCTGGTTTACGCCGACTTATAACCTCAAGACCAAGTGATCACTAAGTCTGCGTGCGAATTTTTCGAGTATATGGTGCTAGTGATCCCCAGCTGTTAGAAGGTCAACGACCGGGAACAAAGAACGTCAACGTTAACAGCTTACGAGTTGTGATCACCGCCACATTACACTAATTAATTATATTTAATTTAGTCTTATCATATCCTTATTTGTTGTAATTCGGATTCCAAACTGTTCACTGTTCTATAATTTTACACTGTTGAACGATAAAGATGACAAATATCTATGAAAATTGAACACTAATCACATTCGTAGGAGACGACTAGATACACTGTACTTCTTATCAATATTTTTTTGTTAAGTTCATCAGAGGTGACATGATGCAATTTCTTAACGACCGGGTTTTTTTTGTGTGCAATGTAAAACTTTGGACGTGTTTTTAATTTGTTTCAAATTAAGTAAACAGAAGAAATTAATATATTAAGAGGAAATCATGTGTACAGTGTAATTAGTGTTTACCCAAACTCTTGTTTTTAAAGAAACATTGTAAATAATAATGGTTCATGTGTTTTCAATCTACTTGTTATTGTTTATAAGTAAGTATTATAACCAAATATAACTAAATTTCACAAAACGTGTTAAATGATTTCAATGTCATTAAATCTCTGGTTTAACAAATATAAGCCAAATGCCTTATATGTATTTGATAATTTTTTATGTGAAAGAAAATAAGGTAATGAAATCTTAATTTCTTGGGAAGAGGTCTAATTATTACACTATTTTTTTGAGGTCACAATGGTTACTTATATTCCAAGTTGTTTTTTAAAGATACTTCATTTTTTGAAACGTCTAAGAAGGCTTACTTTTAATGCTTTTGATTTTACTCCACGCCAATCCAATAATATTTTTTATTCAATATTAATAGATTTATCTCTAACAGGTGTGATCAGTGCGACTGGGACGTTATTGGCACATCGAAACTATAAACCGGTGAGTAGACAGATCTTGTTTTTCAATAATATTTGTTGAACAGAATGCTTCTTGGATTCATTTTCTATTTGTAACTAATATTTTTGTGTGAAAACCTTCTTACATAAGCTTTTTTTTAATTTCTTTATATCAGAGTACAAATAGAATAAAGTTGGATTACAATAAAATTCTGCCAAACTTCAAGAAATATGGACGAAGAATTAGTGAAGTCAGTAAGTAAAATATTTTATGAAATATAATTTACTACGAAAAGTACTCAATATACCCTTAAAAAAATATTATATAAAGTACACTTATGTGTAAGTTAAAACAACTATTATTAAATAATTTTTGCTTTTGTTCGTCTTGTTATAAAACAAGATAATAATTACAATATTGATATATTACAGAATGTGATGAATACGTTTGGCAGAGGATGAATCGTCCCAAAAAAGTCTACAGACGGTTAAGATGTAAGTGATATATATCATTGATTTTTAACACACAAATTGTTTGGAAATTTGTAATATAATGTGATCTTAGACTTTCTAGAGTATTCATTTAAATAAAAGTAATATTTTCCGGATATACTATGCGTTCTTTATCTTTGTAAAAAACTATATACTCTCTACGTTTCGGTAACTTTACAGCAACTGTGATCTCCGGCAGAAGGGTCAATGTTTGTCAGTTGGTACTGTTATTTCTTATCTACCGCCATCGATTTCTTTGGATGCTGGCAGAATGCACATACGGTGTCCCGAGGTCTTTTTTTTATGACGGAGGGAAACTCTTTTTACGAGCTGTTCAACCGGCCTTGGTGGGGCCGGAAGGAATGTGTGAGGCTCGGCCTGGGCAGGCCGCTACTCACTAGAACCACTGCGAAAACCATCGGCCGCTTTGTCGGTGTACCCCGGATCTGTCAGCGACAGGGCACACCAGCGGCTGACCAGTCCTGGTAAAGACCGGATTTACTCTCTCGGAGTATGGGGGCAATCCCGGCAATTAAGACTGCCCCGACGACGCCGGGCTTTCACAGTAGCCGGGTTACCAAGCCGACCCCAGCCCAGAGCACAAAGGTGCTATGGGAGCGTGGGAATCGCCTCCGTCGCACCCCCGTACGTCCTCTGCGGAGGGAGGTTGCATCAGCCGCACCCTCCCTTTCCCGCTCGGATGCCTCCTTCGTGAACATGACCGTCTCACAGAAGGAGGACACCGCCTGGTTGTTGATAGTGAGAGTATGTTTTCCCTAAAAATAAATAATCTCATGTCCGTGACCACACCGCAAGACCTCGGGACACTGAGGTGCACTGAGTGCATTCTGCCGGCATCCAGTGAAATCGATGGTTGTAAATGATAAATAATACGACTAGATGACAAAAATTCACCCTTTTACCTTCGGCCCGAGATCACGGTTGCTAAAAGTAAGCGAAATGTCGGGAGTATGTAGTCTTTCAGAAAAATAAAGTACGCGTACTATATCTCAAATATATTAGTTTCAGTTTAACTTTTAATATAGTAGAAAAAATGGAAATAATACGTGTTTTTTTTGTATAGATTTTTTTAATAAAAATATGTTTAAAGTGAAAGGTCATTCACAAAGGAGAAAAAAGAAAGGGCCTAAGAGGATTGCCAGGTCACTTATGTTGATTGGAGGCCGAGGTGCCCTGCCAGGGGAATTCTCACACATGGTAAAAGGCAACAAAGAATTTTTAAGTATTTGAAATTTCACATTACTAATATTTTCTATATAACGTTTAATAAAAGTGTTATGTGAAAGTTTCACGATTTCAAGTAAATGCTTTATCTAATTCCAATTATATTTATAAAAGGGAGCATTAGGTTGGAAAGCTGTAGAAGGTACGTGGATTTTCAAATGCGGCAGTACTCTCATCAGTCCAAAGTTCACTCTTACTGCAGCTCACTGTTCTAAGGTACCCCCAGACTCAAGAATAAGTTCCCTAATACCTCAAATTGTAAGACTTGGAAATATAAACATTATCGACGTGGTAAGGATAATTAGAAATATACAGAACTTTGTCCCAATTTGTATTATTTTTTTGTTCTAACCATTTTCTGCACAATTAAATCAAAGATTTTATAATTAGTGCAGTCATGTATGTTGCTTATTGTACAAGTTTAAACGAGTTGTTGCTTTATGTGAAACGCTTTTCAGTTAATCAATGGATTACCTTCTATAGATGCTAACATAGTCACTATAACTGTTCACCCGCAATATAAGTCACCCTCGAAATATAATGATATAGCACTAGTTGAACTAGACAAGGATATTATATTTATGAGTAACGTGCAACCAGCCTGCCTTTGGAGCAGTTCTGATAGTAGTATGCTAGGTTCTACAGCAACTTTAACTGGCTGGGGAGTTATCGACACAGGTTTGAAAGCGACTTTATACGAAACGAATTTCTACTGGATGATTATATAGAGGGTTTTCTCATTAAAGTTACTTTTGAATAGCTACAAGAAAGACGTCTCCAATTCTTCAAGCAGCAGTCGTAGATGTAATCGACGATGAGCTCTGTAACAGATTGTTACAACGATCGTGCAGTAGACGATGGTGCGGAGTCAGAGATCAGATCTGTGCAGGAAAATTAGAAGGAGGAGTAGATGCTTGTCAAGTCAGTAAATAAAGATATTGGATCTAAATCATCTCATACTTGTCGTATTTTTATTTGAGAACAATATTATACGACTTGAAATTACTTCTAGGGTGATTCCGGTGGACCTTTGCAAGTAAAAATCCCTCTACCGTCATCTCATGAAGGTTCAATGCATTACGTTATAGGCGTAACATCATTTGGAATCAGATGCGCTAGACCAAACCTTCCCGGCGTTTACACGAAGGTCTCCAGCTTCGTGGATTGGATTGAAAGCATCGTGTGGCCTGAAGAAAAAATGTAATACTGTTGGTTTAAACTGTTTTGTATATTTTATAACATTTGTTTGAATTTGTTGTATGTTTGAAGGATTTAATATGACTTGAATCAACATCATCAACCATCTGGACTAGTTTATTAAAAAAAATATTTAGATTTGTTTATTGTTGGCATGCTTTTTATTTTTATTTTATAAATATAACTTTTGTTTGACTGAATTATGTTTCAATTTCATATTTTATTTATTTATTTATTTACTCTTTAATGTACACCAATATAGACAGAAATAACAAGAGAAAAACAAAGAAAGGAAAAAGTACAAATAGGCGGCCTTATCGCTAAAACAGCGATCTCTTCCAGGCAACCTGTGGTAGAGGAGAGAGGTAGGATGGTAGGGGTGTACAAATTACTTAATACATAAAAAATAGATACAATATATATGTATATATACGATACATAAATAAATATTCCATAAATATATACTTATATAATAATATACATACACATTATAGATATAACATTTACATACTATAGATACTTACATAATAAATAAAATAATTAATTGCAATATTTCTTCAAGAAGCAAGATAGTGCTCTTTTATCATTTTTTTAAAAGAATTCATATTTGGTGCACGTCTTGCTTCGAGTGGAAGAGAGTTCCAAAGACGAATTGAATGGACAGTAAAAGAGTGAGTGTAAAAAGATGTTGAATGGGGTGGTATTTTTAAGACCAAATTCTCTTCAGAACGAAGATTATGGCTATGTGAAGAACTAAGAAATTGAAAACGTTCTTTTAGATATGAAGGAGAATACAGTAATATAATAAATATTTTTATATATTAAATAAAGAACTACAGATTACCGAAATCCGTAAATTGAAAATTGTGATTTTGTCAATTTAGTTTAATAGACTTATAAAGGAAATAATATAAAGTTATTCCGAGAAATCAAACAAAATATTGCTTTAATAAAATCAAATTTCTTATATATATTTTGTT